ATTTGTATTTGGTACATAAATTTGCCCGGAGATCTTATCAAATCGAAAAAATATTTCAGATCCTAGAAGTAACTGAATTTTACCCGGTTTGTGAAAGTCTGGATCAGCTAACGTAACTCCTTGTGGAATCTCAATATATTACAGACATTCAATTTGTCTAGAAGGCATTAAAATGAGTAATTTTCGGAATTACGAAAAATCTAGTTTACGACTGTATGTGTTTCCTCTATTTAAAATAACCGCACTTATTTTTGACTTCACCGTTGTTGAAATCCCAGATAAACATCCTACTGATACGTTTACATTTTCTCTTTGCAAATGAAGCTTCTCAGCTAGTTCCGATGAACAAAGATGAATCATACTTCCACTGTCAAGCAAAGTTCTGGCTGGAAATATTTCTCCTTCATTTCCCTTAATATAAACAATTGCTGTCGACAGTAGGACTCTATTAACTGCATTACAATTTTTATTTACGTTAGCTGTCATAAAACACTCGCTATCCTTATTTATAAATGGCTTTGCGTGAGCGTTCAGTTTCGCTACTTCCGTAGACGAACCGCCGTCTGACTTTTGATCCGACAGAGAGGCGATTTCGCAACTCTCTCTATTTTGGGAAATCGAAACTTTTTCTCGCTCATAACACAGTAACGAATTGTGCTTTTTTCTGCATAGCCTACAAGAGTAATTTGAAGGGCAATTTCTCACTCCATGATTTCCAAACAGCAGAAGAAACATAAGTTGTGCTTTTTAACATACTCGACTCTATCCTTTAAGCTGAATTTTTGAAATTTAAGGCATTTAAATAATTTATGTTCCACATTACACAGTTTACAAATTAAAGCACGTTTTTCAGTCACACATGAAACCATTGAAGAAACCTTTGATTGACTTACTGAAGCTTTTGATTTACACATTACTGGAATTCTAGAAGCGTTTAATGTCCTCGCGTGATCCTTTAGAAATTTTAATAACTCTGTAATGTTCGGTATTTTTTCTTTCTTCAAATTCCTTTCCCACCATAACTTAGTATTCTGATCAAGTTTCTGGCTAAGAATAAAGGCAAATATAGCGGATGAAACCCCATCTAACATTTGTTCTAAACATTCTAACGATCTTACTTCACTTGTAACATCAATTAAATTTAGAATCGCAGAAGCTGACTCGTTTTGAATAACAGGAATACTCATAAATCTTTTAAGATGAGCATACATTTGTTCTCCAGGATTCGAGTATCTTTCTTCAAGGAGAGACCACGCTAACTTATAATTATTATCCGTTATAGCTATCGTTTGGATAATTCTAAAAGCATCTCCTTTCAGTGCTGATTTCAAATATTGCAATTTTACAGCATCTGATAAATTTGGGTTTTGATCAATACTCGCTTTAAAAATGTCTTTAAAGGAAAGCCAAGAATGCATTTCTCCTGAAAATGTCGGTAACGAAATCTTAGGTAAACGCACAACAGTATTTTCAGAAATTACTGCATTTTCTACTTTATTTTCTTTAACAACGTTCGACAATCTATTATTTATTTCAAATTCTATATCAATAATACTACTATTGATTTCATCTTGCTCACTGAAGATTTTTTCGATATTTTCTTCACTACTTAAATTGATAATAGAATCAAAAACATTATCAAATTCATTTTGCAGATTGTTAAATTTAGTTTTTAACAATTCTAAATCACTAACACTTAAATCTGGCTCACAAAGTTTCTTTTGCAACTTCGATAAGATAGTTTTTTGAGTTCTCTTTTTAGTGATTTTTGAACATCTTTCAGTTTCGTTTAGCCATTTTCGCTACACTTATCAAATAACAAATTATCACACAAACTTCTCAACTTATTATTTAGTTATTTTTAGCTAAAAATTACGCAAGAACCTATTCAGAATTTACTAAATGCAACAGTTAATAATGAATAGAGTTTTCAAGGGTTTTTTTACTTACCCCTTTCTTTCAGCAACTGGCTATAATCCACAAACACAAATTCCATTGAAACAAAATGGCAAACTCACTGTTTTACACTAGATTATTTATTTAGCTGATATCTCTGCGGCTCTACTGGACCACTCAAATGGTCCGGCGATTTTTAAGTGGACTGTAACTCTCAATTAAACTAATTTACAAACTACTTTGTAACATATCTTTATCTTTATTATACTAATTTTTGAGAGACGCTCAGGCTCCCACAATCACTCTCTGCTTCGCCATTGAAGCCAACTCCAAAGTAATTAACATTCTTTTTTTAAACAGTAACGATGGCAGCGCCATCTGGCTTCAGAGGGACTTAACACAGACGACAGTTTGTCTTATCTGTGCGAACCAAATGATGTATTGTACTAATTAATTAATGCTTTAAAACTTTCTAAGAGGAAGTTTTGCCCTATTCTTTCCATTTCCGATTTGCAATGCCTATATTCCAAATTGTGCCACTAGGGATGCTGCTGTCATTTGCATTAGGTTGGGTTAGTCGCTTTACTATACCATAACTTCACTTGCATAGCTGTAGCTTTCTCCATTTACAAGAATTTTCAGGTTAAATGGACTTTCCTATGCACCCTGTATAGTGCTCTTCAAGGAATTGTTTCATTCAAGTTTTGTTTATAGAAAACATAAAAATGCTTGCATTTATCCCTTAAGCGTGAAAAATCTTATATGACTGGTTAAAGCAGAGATTTGAACTGTAATCTGTTTTTCTCGGTTGTTAATTAGTTACATCACTGGAATTTTCATTTCACATCATAAGAAAAGGAAAATCTCATTGTGAACTTAATCTTGTAGTCTATATCTGTTCAGCAGAATTCTATGAAGTTTTACAATATAAGCTGATTCTTAAAATAACAGCCTGCAAAAATTTTCTGTGTAACATAAAGTATGTGACCATATGCTCTTCCATAAACAAATTTTAATATGAAAAAACAATTAATGAAATACGTCAATTAAATTCTGATGAGTGAATGTGTCGATTAAATAGTTAGTCTACTCTTTGTTTCTATACTGCTTGTACAATGCTGAGACTTTAATTGAAGTTCTTTTGACTCTGACTAGAAGATAGGAAGCTCTATTAAGACTTTAATTCAGATTTTGAAGTGTGATTGCTGAAATTGCTTTGCATTCTCCCAAATACATTATGTACAAAAGTGGATTAAAAAGTAGGCATTCTTGTTTATTATTATTTTTATTATTATATTATGTTAGTCTGCTATGGGCGCAACCTCTATCCTTACCAAGAACTGAAAAGAAATCCATTTATTAGTGAGTCAATTCTTTTCAGTTCTGGGACATAACAGACTTTTGCTATCATGTTCTATAAATCACAAGGTAGCTAGCTAGCTATATTTGCTTGATGAACATTATTGTAACATTGCTTGTTGTGAAAAAAAATCATCATCATAGGATTAAAAAAATTCTTAAATTCAAAAGATAACATGCAGCATTCCTGCTTCTTCTAATAAGTGTAGAAACTCTTAAACTGTGACAGGTGAAGTCCTGGGATGCAGGCTTACAAAATCTGTAAATATTGAAAATAAATGCTTGTGAAAATCGTTATTTTATCTTAAAAACGGAGAATGAGGATTCATTGGATGATAGAATATTCCTTCTTTATGTGAAAGGTATTTAGAATTATTATACAAATGTGCTTTTCGATTTGTATAGATATGTAGTTGTGTTTACGAAATTAATCAAAATAGGCTTCCTGGCTAATTTTAATTTTATAATAGCTTGTAGTGAAAACATGCAAAATTTTAAAAATTATTTTCTTCACAAAGTATATTTTAGAAAGCTGCATTAAAAAACTTATAACTGTCTATAGCAATGCTTATATGATTCCTAGAATTTTAAAAGGACACCTTTGATAATTTTGATTGGTACTTACATATTAGCACAACCACCCTGGTGCAGTTTGGCAGTTTTTTACAAAACAAAAAGTATGATGACTTGTAATTAAAAAATTTATTGTGTGCATGCATATTATGTAAATATTTTACATTTTAATTAGGCATTTATCTTGAAAAGTCATCAATAAATTTGTAGCAGGCTTTTGTTTCTCTTATTCTGATGAAAATTTCATGATCACTTTAAGGAAAAAAAATCATAGCAGTCTCTCCTTTCAGTGATTGCAAAATACTGTATTCCTACAGAAATTTTAATGCAGTTCCCTCCATAACAGGCAAGTTCCATGAACACTTATTTTAAAATTGAGTTTAAAAAGATAAAATAATGACAGGTTCTCTGTAAAAACATTTAGCTAAATACAATGTAAATAATGCATGCAAAAATGGAGTTTTTCATTCCTTCACACTTCACTAAAGATGTGCTTTCACTCCTTCACAGTCCGTTAGTGGACATTTCTCGTATTCAGATATTTACCAAAACAAAAAATTACCCCAAAATCAAATGTAGACTGTGTTAAGTTTTTTGAAGCAAGAAACATAAAAAACAGTTATGCCATCACTAGAATTTGAACCTTTGAGTTCCCAGTTTGCTAGGCAGACATGCTAGACTACCTATTTCACCATTAAGCCATGGTGGAAGGAAGGAGAAAATTTCTTGCATTCTCTCCAGTTTCAAGAGTGACTGGGTTGGGAGGGAACCCAGTTACCTCCCAGCCCTCTCATAAAGATGAGGAATTATCAGCTGTGACATTTTAGTTGGGTGCTTTTGTCTCCTTGGCTATTAAAGCAGGAATTACCCCCCCCAAAAAAAACAGGTCTGCACTTTGATGGATTTGAACGCCTCATCTGGTTTTCTAGACAGACGTGCTACCAGTTATGCGCTGAAGGCATGCAGTTAAGGAGAAGAATATTCCTTATACCTACATTAGTTATTTAAGTAATTTCCCTAAATATTTTCCTTTTCTTAAGTAATTTTCCTAAATACTTTCCTTTTAAGTACTTTTCTTTTTTTAAGACTTAAATATGCTTGATATTTCGTTATGTTACTATTTTTTGCTATATTTGTTTTGTAACATTATAGTATAATGACTGTTTTTGCAGAAAGCTGATTCACCTACAACCCAAGAAGATGGAAAAAATAAAGTAAAAATTATTTATTTACATCCTTTTTATTTGAATAAATTATTTAAAAAAATTCTTTTAATTTTTAAAAGTTTACTTTTGTATTATTTTATTGAAAGTGTACTATATATGCTATATTTATGTATATAAATAAAAAATTCAGTTACTTTTTTCTCTACTAAATGCTTTTCTTCTGTATGACTGCAGATTTTCAATTGGTGTAGTGGATTAGATGACTCAGATGATTCTACAGTTTACTTTTCTCCCGAACAAGGGAATGTCATTTTTGCAAGTGCATTGGATGGATGGGGATTTGGGTTTGTATCTGTAAACACTTTTTATTTTGATTAGTTCACAACAATAATTGACTGTAGATTTATTTACTAGTAAAATATACTGCTTATCAGAATTAAAGGATATTGGCAGAAATAAAATTTGTTACCTATTGAAAAATTATTAAAAGGATTTTGTACAAAAGCATTATTTAATATAAATTATAATGTTTGCCAGTTGATTAATCACAAAATATTAAATTTAAAGTTTTGCAAAATTGATACATGATAGAAAAATTGTCTTTCTTGTTCTGTAATAAGCTTTTCTTTAATATGGTGTACTTTCATCTCTGATAAAATGCGAACCTCATATCTTGATTTCATTCAGTTTACCAAACTGTTCATCAAGTCTTGTGGAACAGTATGCCATTCTTTTAAAAGTATACTTTTTAGATCCTTGTGGTTCAGAGAATGCATTATTCCACATTGCAGTTCAGTGATTTAAGGCATCTCACACATGCTCTATCAGGTTCAAACTTGATGAATAAAATGGCTAATCATTTTAAGTGATAGCTTCTTTTTCCAAATATTCTGACACTGGAGATGCTTGATGCAGACAAGCATTGTCATCCATTAGCAAAAAATAGGACCAATAGCACCCGTAAATGGTCTTATATGGGTTGATAGAACCTCATTCATACATTACAGACTGATTACAGAACCTGCAAAGATATCTAGCTCATTGTAGGCATTTTTGATGATTCCACTTCAAGCCATGAAATTATTTCCATTCAAGTGGACTCTTGCTTGAACAAGGGAAGGCTAGTTGCATATTCCTAACTCTGGAAATCAATATATATCTAAAATTACACTTGAAGCTATAATCAGTATATGGTCCCATTCCTCTTGGCTGCAATTAACATGGCAATGACATTTCCTTTAACTGGCCCTTTGGAAAAAGATATGCATGGGATACTAATCGATTGTTTTATCACATAAAATCCAAACTTGTGAAGCCTTCCTTTGGCAATAGAGTAACTAATTCAATTTTCTGTAGCAGCCTAAATGTCTATGACCAGCTTTCTTGTAATTTGCTTCTCATTTCTTTAATTTGACAGTGACGAAATGTACCTTCTGTTGCAGTTGTTACTTTTACCTATTCTTAACCATACTATTTGCTAACTGATTTACTGCCTCTACTGCGGCTGAAAGTCCTTAATATGATGCTTTGAGGGATATTCAGATTTGAGGTGGCATCTGTATGTGTTTGCTTCCATCTCCTTGACCATTCGATAAGCTGACACTTTTTCATCACTCACAGTGATTGCCTTTGTCTAATAACTGATGAATACTGTCCACTCTTATAAATAATATAACTTAAACAGCACTACACACCTGAATTCCAGCATATGTCCATTGTGCATCATGCTCTTACTTGCTTTATTTACATATTTTTATGCATGAAATTAAGTGTTGTTTTCAGTTATAAGTAATTAAAATAAATCATTACACCATTGGACATTGGTTGAAGATTTTTATGAGCAAGCATATTTTATCTAATTATCCTTAATATTTTGATGAGCTGTGAACTATACAGACTGCACAAAAAAATGTGTCAAAAAACGAAAATAAATAATTAAATAAAATAAGAATTGAAAGATTAATTGTTGAATTACATAGCTTGAGGAACAGGGAGCCATTTTTTTACCTGTCGAAACTTCTCGTACATTCCCAACAACATAGTCTTTGAGGTAATAGGCAGCTATTTGAGTGTTACTCCCATATAAAATAAAATTTGCATGGATATCTGTACAAAAGTCTGAGCTCTCATAGTCGGTCACTAAAAAACTACTGAGACTTAAGACAAAATATCTTTGAAATTTTTCTTTGATTTATTTTTACTATAGAGACTAGAAATAAATCTTTTTTGATGTTTTTTCAATATTCTGTCAACAGATGGGTAAAGAATGCATTCTTTGAAAAACAGATAAGATGATTCAATGAGCTCTCTCACTTCAGTTTTGTATGTATTATAGTGTTATAGAAATCACTGCAATGTAATTTTTTAATTTTTATGCTGGATTATGCTTAATTTTATATATAAATTTTTCATTTCTGAGAATATGAGTGACATTAGGCCCTGAATTGTAGATTTGGGGTTTTGTCAGAGTAAGAGCGTTTTATCTCTGACATCTTAAGCATTAACTAAATGGCTTCAGCCTTCCCATTAGATGGAGAATGTTCATTCGGTTCTGTAGTCAACTAATGGTGAATAAACTGCAAAATCTTTTTAGTATTGGTGCTGACTCTGAATGTAAATCAAGATCCTAGAATAACATGCAATCATTTATATTCAGTGTATCTGCTATGTAAAGTTTCCATTTGAGTTATTTTGAATTCAACTTTATTAGAAGTTATCTTCTCCATAAATTATGTCATATCAGCTCTTTAGCTAAGCAGCCAATGAGTTAGAGTAGGAATCATTATATGTTTATTAGAAATGTCTCCTTTGTAGTTTTATAACTTTCTGCAATATTCTATTCTGAGTCTGCAGCCTTTACATTAATTCAAGTTATAATTTCTTTTATAATTTTTTATAGGTAATCATATTAGTTTCTTATGTGGTGGGCACAAAGTCTTTTGCTAAAATATTTCTTTCAAAGAGAAAATTTTACAAGCAGTAATATAGCTTGAGTTCGCATTATTTTCAATCTTGCAGTAATCAGTCATAGAATGTGTTTTTGTTATTACCAACTTTTTCATTATTACCTTGTCACAAATTGCAAATACTTCATAAAGTTGGAATTACCTTAATATATGTATCATATCTTAACTCTGTGGGCTGTGTGGCTTTTTTTGGGTTAACTCATAAACAGCTAGACTGAAGCATGATTTATTTCCTATATTTGTATAATTATTATTTTATACTTTATTTTCATAAATTTCCATTCATTGGAGTAATATTTAAATCATTAAAGAAATTAAGGAAAAAATGAAATTAATAACAAGGAATATCTAACAGGTAAAAGTAAGGCCAGCACCTGCTCATTTCCGTTAGTATATATTATTAGGTATTACCGAACCTTGCTGACTATTAAGCTTCCATCAGAGTTTTGAGGGAGAAACCCTAGGGGATACAGTCCAAGGGTCTGCCATCCCTCTTTCTGCATCATTAACCGCTCGAAAGGATTTCCAGCTCACCATGGATTTTGAGTTCCCCCTTTGCTGCACAGACACTAAATGTTTACAAACATCCATGCCATTTATAGAATTTGAGCTTGGCTTATGGGTATGGCAATCAGCATCGCTAACCACTATATTGGTTGGGAGGCATGTAATGTCTAACAAGTAAAAACCGATTTCATTACTAGATAAAAGTGATCATGCTGCTTAGAAGTTTAAGTTAACAATATGTGTACTTTGGCTGAATGACGCTATGTCTAATCTTTTCAAAATTGTCAGTCTGTCATGTTCATTGTAACTGTTTGATAATGCAGCTTCTTTGTCAATTTCTTATCATGTAAAACACTGAGGTATTTACTATTTTAGAGAATACATGTTTTTATATTAGCTATTGATTTTTGTTGGTCAGTTTTTAAAGCTGCTGATTTTTTTATGTCATTCTCTATTTCATTTTCTGAGCACTAGCAAAAAAACAAGTGCACTCAACTTTATTTTTCTGCTATTTTAGTAACTTTTTTCACCCTGTATGAGGACCTGAAGTTCTAATAACCAAATGATTTACATCAAATAACCGTATCACCTCCACCCCATTAGCAGACTTTGAATCTCAGTATTCTGTCATAGGAGAACTGAAAGTTAGCTATTAGCACACAAAAATTTGAGCTGTAAGCAAGATAACTCTTGAAAATGATATAAAAATTAATAATGTGTATAACATGTATTGTTATTCATAGCATATATTGTTATTCATCCGAAGCAAAAGTATTTTTGGTTAGTAATGAGAATATAGTTTCCAAATCTGCTGGTAAGTGCAGCCAATTATTTAGTAGTTTTTCTCACTTTCAATGCAATAACTTCAACAATCTTAAAAAGGAAAGAAAAAATTTCAAATTGCAATCAAATTTTAGTTTAAAATCCTTTTCCGTTATATGTATAACCTTTGATAACTGTACGCATTTCCATTATTCCATGTGTTTCTTTTTAGAAAAGAACTTCTAGGCGATTATTTCTTTAATAGACCTAGACCTTTATTTTCTGGTGTTGTCTAAATTATTTTTCTGATATCCTGCTTGCTTTTATTATATTTTTTTCATGCCTTTGATTTATTATAGTAAAGCTTTCATTAGAAATTAAAAGTATTCTTTAAAGCAAATTTTCAGCTGTATGTTTTAATAGCAGTAGCATATTTCATAATTATCTGTTTGATGTGTGATGGTCATCACCTATAAAACAGATAATTATAATTAAGTATGCAATTAATTCTTTGATACTGTCCTAATGCCAAGAAAAAAATGTACAGAGAAAGAGAGAGTTACAAATAAAATGCATTGCTGTTCATTCATATTAGAGAATTAAATGAGAAAGTGAAAGTGGCAAAATTTCATTTTTATTTATGTATTAGATAAATTGCCTTTTAAGCATCTATGTAAATTTAAAATTTTTTTCATTTTTAAATGTAAAAATGCCATTTTCAGTGATAAGATTTATTTTACAAATGTAAATCATATTTCTTACAGTAATAAATATGTTTTGTATATGTTAAGTAATAAATAAATCAGAGGTTCCTGTTAGAACAAAGAAGCTTTATTTAAATACATTAGGAAACAGTAAAAACAAGGAACAAAAGTTCATCAAAGGTTTGGGGCAATAAAATGGTTTGGAGCGTCAAAGGTTTGGGGCAACAACAATTTCTCCTACAGCTTATTCCCCCTCCCCATTGTGCTGGACTAACTGCATCTCTATGTATAAGTAGAGCTCACCAAATTCACTAGTCATAATCGTGGTAAAGTTTTGCAGATCTAGAGGTTAGCTACACGTTTTACTTTGTTAACTCAAGTAATGTTATAGCATTAAATACGAGGTCTGATTACATCTACACCAGTATATAAAGCAGTGTATTATGGGGATTTATATGCTGATTTTGATATACTGTATATACAATAGATTTGGGAATTTAATTTTTTTATCATATTATATGTCTTATTTATTAATGCTAATAAACAATTTACTTTTTATAATAATTTTTCAGGATCTCACATTTTGCCAAAATGTATGCATCAAAATTAGGTGCAAATGAAGATGTTCTTAAACAAACATTGTGGGGAGATTTTTATTTTAATTCAAAAACTAAACAAGTTTTGAAAGGTGCAATGGTAAGTTTCATAAATTATTTTAACTTCAGTAAATTTTGTGAATTTCTCTCAAAAACTTTTTGAAAGATTAAAATATAAGTCATATATTATGTTTTTATTTCACTTAATTATTTATTTTGTTTTAAAACATGAAACGGTACTGTTCTGTTATCAGGGAATAGAATCCAGAAATGTATGTATGTATGTGTTCATGTATGCATATATATATGTAAGCATGAATGTGTGTGTATAAATATGCACATATATGCACATACACACGTGCATACATTCATACCTTTCTGAATCTGTTCCTGATAACACAACAGTACCCATGATATTTTTCTGTAATTATATTTTTTATTTTATTTTATATGAAACATTCTTTGAAAATGTTAAACCAGTAGTGAAGGCAAATCAGAATTAAAGCTGCTGTGCTTACAGTAATTCTTTAGGCTTTAGACTTGTTTTAAAACTTAAATTTTGTAGTTTAGTTTCTATCGCTGTATTTCATCATTAATTTTGAAGTTAATGTTTTTTTAGTTAATATCATTTACCAAGATATATTAGTTTTCATAAACCAAATTTTCTTATTTTTTAGTAAAATTTAATGAAATTTCTCAAATTTCTGTCATAAAAATATGGTTTTACACTTTACATTGACATTTTTATTTCAACCATCACTGTCTGAGTAATAGTTATAAAATAAAGTGATACATTCTACTTCTCGTCAGGATTTGGAAAAAAAATGTATGTTAGTAAGTCTTTGTAAACTTTATTACTCACCACATTTTTCATGTAAATTATTTCCAGCGCATTATGTGCTGTAAAGTTAGTACATTATTATGTAACTGTTTTGGTAAATGAATTATGTACACTGCTGGCCATTCAAATTGCAACAACTTAAAGAATGATCTGAGGAACATCAAAATCACATGAAAAGAAGAAGTTGGGATATGCAAATGATTAGTATTTAAGTGCATCTGAAGCACTGCATAAAAAAAAAGTTGTGTAGTGGATTTCTCATTTAGAAAGTAAGAAGCAAGCAACAAGTCAATCGAATAAGAAGAGACTAATCGTAAAGATACCAGAATTTACCTTCAAGCAATATTTAGTCAGTGGATTCCTTTGTCCAGTACAGTATTAGGTCTGTAATGGCATGCTTTACATAATATACATATCTTTTACAATATTTGTTTTATGCAGAGATGAAGAATTTGGAGCCTTTTGAAGTATTAATTCAAGATTTTTATGTGTTTTTCTCAAATGCAGAATTTCTGGTCTCCATGAGGAAATATTAAACTGAAAATATATTAAAGTAAATTAATTGTTTTCAATTATATCAAAGAAAGTGCAAATTCATTTTGTATATTATAATTATTTTTTAAGTAATGCAATTACTTACATTACTTTACAAATTACTTACATTTTAAAGTACTGCAATTATGTTCATTACTTTACAAATTTAGATTAGATTAGATTTTGCTTACCAGCAAGTTTCGAAATTCGAAAGCGGTAGGATTGTTGCCTGTCGAAAGTGTATATTATCATTCTGTGATATCACCGGTTGCACTGGTCGACATTCAACCACTGTCATGCGAATATCAAATTAATGGATTTCTGAGGGTCATACTGTATGGCATGCAGGATCTCAACACCCTCCCATGACTAACATTAGAGAGGACAGGCATTTTGTGAGGTCAGCCCTGTAAAACTGTATGACCGCATCATGGACCATTAGTGAGGAAATGGGCATGTTTGCAGCACACTCGGTATCATTTCGTAAGATGCGTTGATGTTTGCAGCAGTGTGGACTATCAGCAGGGTGACCATTACTTCGGCTTCCGTTGACAGTGCAGCACAAAGAGAGACGACGATTCTGGTGCACCAAATGACAAAGCTGGATACAGGAGTGGCACAATGTCACCTTTTCAAATGAGTTCCAGTTCTATGTGCAGTATTCTGGTGGCCTTATATGTGTTTGGAGTGTCTGAGAAGACTACACGTCCCCTACTTGCATTTGACATCTGCATAGGGGACCTGCACCTGGCATGACGGTTTGGACAGCCCTTGGGTACACGACACATACATCTCTAGTTTGGATCAATGGCAATTTGAATGCAGATGGGTATATTTCTGACATCTTACATCCAGTGGTTGTGCCCTATCTCCCCGCCTGTCCACCCTAATGCCCACACCCCCTCAATACATCTGCCCCCCCCCTCATCTGGAGACTGTCCCACCACCCCTCTCCAGCTAATACAATTGAAGTTTCCCCCCTCCCCTGTCCATGCCTCCCCCCACTTTGGCAGCTTTTCTACTATTTCCCCCCTATCCCCAAATTCCCTCCTGTTCCTTCCCTCCCTTCAGTGCCACTTTGTCCAGTCTGACCCTGAAGCCGTTTAGTGAACAGGTATTATTTTATTTTTTATCTTATTTTAAGCATAGGACTCCCTTTTAAAGAAATAAATTTTTGTTAGAATTAAAACTTTAAAGAAATGCTAGTGAAAAATTTGTTAATATGTATGTTGTATATATATTATATATATATATATATATATATATAAACAAATTTTTGCTTAGATGTTTGATTCTGTATGTGTTTCATGTATGAATAATAATACAGCTTTGTTGGTCACATGTTGGTATGCAAAATTGCACTCATATTATTAATATATAAATTAGATGTGTAATTTTTTTAACTTTTTAATGCTCTTTTATGTACTTTAGTGATATTGCTAATAATTTTAATGTTTTTTAATGTTTGTTTAGGGACAAATTAATGGCGGATAAAATTGTTAAATCTTTGAATTTAAAGATTTCACCTAGAGATACTAATCGTAAAGATCCCAGAATTTACCTTCAAGCAATATTTAGTCAGTGGATTCCTTTGTCAAGTGCAGTATTAGGTCTGTAATGGTATTCTTTACAAAATATACATATCTTTTACAATATTTGTTTTATGCAGAGATGAAGAATTTGGAGCCTTTTGAAGTATTAATTCAGGATTTTTATGTGTTTTTCTCAAATGCAGAATTTCTGGTCTCTGTGAGGAAATATTAAACTGAAAATATATTAAAGTAAATTATTTGTTTTCAATTATATCAAAGAAAATGTAAATTCATTTTGTATACTATAATTATTTTTAAGTAATGCAATTAGTGCTGTGCATGTTTTATGGAGGAACAAATATTGAATTTATATAGCTAAAACTCCACATATATTTTGCCTTTTAACCAGTCAAGAGTTTGACCCTGAAGGTCCTGAGAAAATGTTGAAAGCTGTGAATCTTTTTACATAACACAAAATGTTTAGCATATTTTGAGAAGGAATTCTTTGGGGTAAGAAAGAATCTACTCATACTGAAAGGATTTGGTAAAAGTGGGTAGTTTTAGTTTGTAAAAGACCAACTCATTGATCCATTTCCTAATTTAGTGACTGGAAACATTATTTCAATCTTTTCCTCTCATATATCAAAGCTTATGTTTGGCTGCATTTTCACATTTAATGATTTCAGTGGATTTAATTATTTTAGAGTAATGTTTTTATAACCCCAGCATTATTTTCCTATAATCCTGCTTTTCAACTCTATTGAAAAATTTAAACATGTTAAAGTGTATACTGTCTTTTTAGTGTATTAATAATGTTCATAAGTTTAATAAATAGTTCATTATTTATTTGACACATATTATTTGACACTTAGCTTAGGAATAAAAAATGAGTTCTTACATTTTAAAAATTTAGATTTTGTTGTAAAACATGAAATATTTCAAATTTGTAGCTTCTTTATCAAATAAATACAGTCAAAAGTCGTTAATTCGGACACCCATAATTCGGCATGATCTATAATCCGGACATCAAAACTAAAAACTTTCTGCGCATGCGCCACGTTGACACATGCGCAGAGGCGTTCACGCGTGCGCGTAAGACCTTTTACGACTGCGCATATGAGTGTGCGCAAGTGCAGAATTCGTTTTCGCGTGTGCATTTTATGTATAATGGACGTATAAGCTAAAATTATCTAATTATCTATTTCAGTTAATGTTGATGATTGCGTTGTTCCTTAATTTCGAATTGCATCCGGCTTATTATTTTTTGCAGACTGTAAGAGCAGTTTTTATAAAAGTAAGCTTAAACTTTCGATTACATCAAATAGAATTTCCGATATATATTTGTTAATATGTAAAGGATCTAAAGCGAAAGTATGTTTTGAAATCCGAAATCTGTTTATCAATTTCACCCTGCTCGGCGGCGGGCGCCTAATGAATTGGAAGTTGATTTGTCAGCACTATCCTTATCTTCAGCGCAGATGTTTTTATTTTATTTGGCTTATAATTCCTTACCAAATGTAGTATTTCATCTCGATATGCTCCGTCTTTGATATGATTTAAAACAAGTTCCTCGTCATTATAATTCGCTTCGATAGCGAAGAAAAAGTGACAGAGGTTATTGAAAACAAAAAATTTCGATTGACAAATTAGTCGGTGTTCTTGACACAGCAATTATAGGACTTGAACGGCGGAACTTTGTAACTGAACAAGAAATTATGTCGGTTTAATAGAATTAAAGAGAAAGTATTATCACATGAAACGAAGCAAAACTTAAACAACTTACATTGAAAGAAATGTTTAATAAAGTAAACAAATAAATATTAAGCTTTTTCTTTTTGCAAATTTTGATACCCTTTAGATCATAATTGTTCTTTATTTCATAAATTACGGTTTCATATTTTTAATTTTAGAATTTCTGCATGCCATTTTACGAGATTTAAACTGATGATCTATAATCCGGAATCGCCGAAGTCCCGACGAGTCCGGATTAACGACTTTTGACTGTACATCCCTTTGCCCCCAATAATGAAAATAATGTTCTTGCTTTATAGAAATCACTTATACAGGAGGTAGACTAATAATGTAGCAAAGCACAAAATATTTTTACAGATCTTTTACATATGCGAATAATTTCAATGAAATTATATGTGAAAGTTTTGTATTTTTCTGTATAATGTAACATTTGTTGTTCTGAGTTGTTAGTTCAGAGTGACTTCAGAGCATTGGGAGTTTTGCCTTTTAAATGCATTTGCTTGTGTTGTGTTAATCGTTCTTAGTAGTTTGAAATGTAACTAGTTATTGTACTGTGTGATACTGTGAACAACTGTACGAGAATTCCTATGGAAAGTTCCAGAGCTCTGAAGTTTTCTTTTGATAAAATAAATGTTATCTATCCATTATCAAGCCTGTGTGTATTCAGTCTATTATGAACCCATGCAACAATATTTATTTGGAAGGAACTGGTCCACAGTTACAGGTTATATCTCATGTGAGCTTGATAAGTACAAGTTGTGTATAATGTTCAATGAACTACACAACTTCTATTTATGCAAAGTGATCTGTAATTCAAATAGTATGACTGAACAAAAAGATCTAGCACATATTTTAGTCTTTAAGATGTTCACATCTGAACATGCTGGCACATGATATTGTGTGTTATCTTCACCAGCATGTGCCAGTCATACACCAAAATACCAGCCATCAGTGCCGGCACTTGCCATTCATGCACCAGCATATGCTTGGGCATTGTTTCCATATTAGTCTTTTTTTATGGTGCTTTGCATACCAATCCTGGCAGGGAATGTATTAAAATGCCACAGGAAAGTTCAAATATGTTTGGATCAAAAGAAAAGATGCAAAAATGCTCATTTCAAAGATGATGAATGATGCTCACTTCATCCTCATGCTCATCAAATTCTGCTCCATCACTTTGTTCCCAGTTATGCTACTTGTGTTTAACCTATGCTACTAAAATTTATGATGCAAAAATTGTTCTAATTATAGGCAATTGTTCAACTCATATTTCAGTTAAAACATTAGTAAAAGGTTATATATTGATCTTATTCTTTCCTCCATACTGTACATCCATCATTCAGTCATAGATACTGGAGTGCTATGCATTCTGAAATGCAGATATAAAGCCATTGTTTTAAAACTTGTGGCAAATTTTAGAACTTTTGAAATATTTTAACATAAAATCTGCCATGTTGAGCATTACATAGTCATGGAAGGATGTGTCTTCTGATATTTTGAAAAATACTTGGCATGATTTATGGCTAACTTCCATATTTCATGGTAATGAAGATGATGATAGTCACAAATTTTGAGGTTTTGGAATCACAAGCAAATACAAAATTTTCCAATTTCTAGCTGGTGAAGAACTAAAAATAAATGAATGTGACATAATAGAAGCTTTCTATTTTGATAACAATGCGTTGATCGTCAATGAACTATCAAATGGCAAAATCTGCAGTAGGTTTTTAAGTCTTTAAAATATTGCTACTGACAGTGAAGAGTATCAAAGAGGTTGTTGGAAATTAAAACTCTTTCACGTTCTTAATTTTGAATATCTTACTAGATTTTAAACTGATCTAAAACCCAAAAATTTCTGGAATTTTAGAATCTTTGAGGTCTTGCCAAACCCAGATCATGAACATATACAGCTTATATTTGATGTGAGCTTAACAAGTGCAAGTTGTATATATTATTCAATGAAATACACAACTTACACAAAATAATCTGTAATTCAAAAAGTATGATTGAACAAAGAAATCTAGCACATATTTTAGTCTTTAAGATGTTTACCTCCGAACATGCTGGCACATGATATGGTGTGTTATCTGCAGCAGCATGTGCCAGTCATGCACCAGAATACCAGCTGACAGTTACGGCTTATATTAAATAATGATATGTTATTTCAAAAACAAATGCCCGAATATCATATAGACGGGCCAACTCCAAAAAAAAAATGATAATAATATAAGGGAAATTATTGCAAAGAAGTGTAAAACAAAGCAACGCCAAATTTCTAAATGACTGCACAAACAAGTTAAACAGTGAGATAAAGTAGTTTTCTATTAGTTATCATAATCTGAAGAAATGAAATAAGTTCAACATTCAGAGGAAGGTATTAACTGAAAAGCATATAGAGTAGAGATAATGAATTTAAAAAAAATAAACCCTCCCAACTCAGAAGTATTATAGTTAGCAAACCGAACCTGGAAAAGCACCTAACGGTGGATATGAAGAAATTAACAGCTTAATTTAACAAAAAACTAAAGAAGAAATGGATACTTAAACAATGGAAAATTAGCAATCTGGTGTTAAAATTTCATCAGAAGTGATGCATAATAAAACAACCAAGAATCAAATTGCAGTCCATAACTTACAGAACCCAAGGAGACTGAATTTGTAATGATGTCAGAAGGTGTGTGAACTTAGGTACCTAGAGTGTTAGAAAAGTCATGTGATCTGTGATGTTGTGCTTTAATTTTTGCAAATTTAAAATCCTTCTCTGGCTACTTTAGCTCAAAACATTTTGGCAACATTGCTCCAGCAGTGTTAAATGTGGCCTGTCATGAGCATGAACATTTCGTAAGAAACATAGTCTAAATCATAGACTAAAGATGTTACCCAGAATACTGTAGTATTGCTATACTCTGATATTTCCATGCAGGGTTATAAATGGTCCCAGGCTACAGCAGGATATCCCACACTGCACCATTAGAGAGCCCTCTCCATATTTCATGGCAGGAACCAGATAATCAACAAGAAGTAATTGCAGCTCTGATGTAATGTAGTTGCTTCAAAGCATTATGCTACGTCACAAATAGTTTGGTTATAGTCAATCTGGTATCAATATTCATAGCGTGCTATTCCTGTTCATAATTTTTTTAATACAAGATGTTTCTGAAAATGGATGTTTGTGTCAGAGGTTTTTTGTGAAATTGCTGTCTTGTACTTTTAAGCTACTCTACACTTCAACACTCCTCTATCCTTGTTAGTTCATTTTCATCCTCTGCTCAATTTCAGAAAATAAATTTTATGATATTTTCTGTAGGCTGTCACAACTAACTTATTCTTATGTACAGCAACTGTAACTTTATTTGTTCTTATTCCTAAAGCAAATTATAATACAGTCAAAAGTCGTTAATCCGGACTCGTCGGGACTTCGGTGATTCCGGATTATCGATTTTTCCGGATTATAGATCATCAGTTTAAATCTCGTTAGATGGCATGCAGAAATTCTAAAATTAAAAATATGAAACCGTAATTTATGAAATAAAGAACAATTATGATCTAAAGGGTATCAAAATTTGCAAAAAGAAAAAACTTAATATTTATTTGTTTACTTTATTAAACATTTCTTTCAATGTAAGTTGTTTAAGTTTTGCTTCGTTTCATGTGATAATACTTTCTCTTTAATTCTATTAAACCGACATAATTTCTTGTTCAGTTACAAAGTTCCGCTGTTCAAGTCCTATAATTGCTGTGTCAAAAACACCGACTAATTTGTCAATCGAAATTAGTTCGTTTTCAATAACCTCTGTCACTTTTCTTCGCTATCGGAAGCGAATTATAATGACGAGGAACTTGTTTTAAATCATATCAAAGACGGAGCATATCGAGATGAAATACTACATTTGGTAAGGAATTATAAACCAAATAAAATAAAAACATCTGCGCTGAAGATAAGGATAGTGCTGACAGATCAACTTCCAATTCATTATGCGCTCGCCGCGGCGTACCCCCTGCCGAGCAGCGTGAAATTGATAAACAGATTTCGGATTTCAAAACATACTTTCGCTTTAGATCCTTTACATATTAACAAATATATATCGGAAATTCTATTTGATATAATCGAAAGTTTAAGCTTACTTTTATAAAATTGCTCTTACAGTCTGCAAAAAATAATAAGCCGGATCCAATTCGAAAATTAAGGAACATCACAATCATTAACATTAACTGAAATAGATAATTAGATAATTTTAGCTTATACATCCATTATACATACGCGCACGCAAAAATGTATTCTGCACTTGCGCACACTCATATGCGCAGTCGTAAAAGGTCTTACGCGCACGTGTAAACGCCTATGCGCATGTGTCAACGTGGCGCATACGCAGAAAGTTTTTAGTTTTGAGGTCCGGATTATAGATCATTCCGAATTATGGGTGTCCGAATTAACGACTTTTGACTGTAATCTTATGTCTTTCCACGTCAGAGAAGTCAGGTACAATGGTGTTTAGCTGATGGCAAAATGTCTACATAAAATCTGCACAACTAGTGCTGGTTAACCAATATCTTTACTTTCATGGTGATCTTAAGGGGTATGGTTGAACTCCAAGGTCACATTTTGACCCAATTTGTAATTGATGTTTATATTGTTTTCTTCATGTCTGTTATTTTTTCCTAATTTTACCAAACTCCTGCTTTTAAAAATTATATTTCATATGCTTCAGAAATAGCTGGAAAGGAAGTTAACTCCAATTAGCAGTGTCTTTTTTTAAACTATTCTTTTCCATTAATATTCAAAGTTGCAGCATTTTATTTAGGTTTTAAAAGAATATAATGTAATTTTATTAGCTCTACTTTGCATAAAAATTTTACTCATGCATTACAAAACACTGTACAATCTAATATAAGCATGTCTGCATATATTTAGTTAGATATCATACGCTTTTGAGGACACCTGTGAGAACTCATGCATTTATTCGACTTTTGCTTAACTTTTTTTAAATAAATTCGTTGAAAGCTGTTGGATTCCATTTTCTTATATCATATAGGTTGTTCTTCAATTAAATTTCTTGTAAGTAAATGATATATTAAAAATCAGAAATTTTCTTTTGATATTTATGTAGAAATGCAGGTATTTGGGTATTATCACAACCACCTAAATAGAAGTCACCAAATTTTTTAGAATGTGCCAAACTCTGCAACCACATGCATAATTGTCCAAGAAACCATGCTTAACAATCCTTCACTCAAGCAGTGTCATCATTTTTGTTTGCATTCTTTTTTTTTTTTTTTTTTTTTTTTTTTTTTTTTTTTGCGGTTAAACTACTGCAGGAGTACAGTATTTTGCTGCAAAATCACCAAGGGAACAATTATGAGAAGTGATTAGTAAATATCCAATGCAAAATGCCGAGTTTGTGTAATTCTGCATTTTTTTTAAAGCTTAAATAGATTGCATATACATGGAGAGAAGAACGATGCTAAAAAATTAGAGAAGGATTTCACAAAAAAAAAAAAAAAAAAAAGAGAGAGGAGAGAGAGATTTATTTGTTTATATTTTAAATGTATCATATAATCCTTATTTAATAATTAAAATTTGTATTTTAAATTCTTAAATTTATTTTCTTTTGATCCTGAGTCTTCTTATGATTCTTACAATAAATATCAATAGTTTGGGAAAGCTTTTAAAAATAAGTCCCAGAAATTGTGAACTTGCACCTGATAATTTTTACCTTTTCATTCATAAAAATTTGCCGTATTGTGCCTGGGTGGTTGTGTTAATATGTAAGTACTGAAATATAATACATATTCGTGTCTAATTTTCCATATTTGTTTCACTAACTATATTTCTTACCTAAAAATGTTTAAAAAATTTTCTTGACCGCAGTCATGTTTTTCATTTGTAACTTTTCTATTTAAAATTTTATTTAATTAATTAAAGTTTTATATAATATAAAGTTTATATGTTTTTAATTTAAAATTTTATTTAATTAAAAATTATTTATACTATAAAATATTTAGTTCTATAAAATTTATTTCATTTTCATAGTAAATTGTTGCATGTCAAAAACATAAATAAAATATTTCCTGATTTAAAATTTTTTGACAGATATGGTCTGCCAGTTTGTTTCAAGTCCTCTTGAACTGAGTGAAGAAAAAGTGGAAGGTTTAATGTGTTCTAGTTCATATAAATTTGATGCATTACCTCCAGAAACCCGTCAGTTAAAATCAGGTATGTTTAGGCTTTGCAAATTAGTATTCTATTTTGTAGCAAATGATAGCGTTTGTTATTATTTAGCTGTTATCAAAAGAATATCTCTCATACATTGCAGTTTTCATAAATATCATTATGATTATTATCTTTCACCATTAATATTCTGATTTGTAAGAAATAACAGTTTGAACTGTCACATCATAAATTTTGTTTCTTTCTCCAGAATCTTAGGTTGTATTCCACTTTGTAAAACTGATCTTGTTGGTACATATTTTGTAGTAATAGTTCCTATATAACTGATAAATATATGATGATTTTTCCATGTAGAAAATTGTGATATTTTGCAATCATATATGACAATTCTAATTTTTTTAACTGATTACAAATGTATGAAAAATGCATTGGAATTTTCTTAAAGATTTTTAATAAAAGTGTATGACTATATTCTATGAAATGTTTATTTAACTGGAATTCAAATTCAGTGCTATTCTTATACTTTGTTTTTATATGTAATAAATTTAATGTTTTACTTCATATTTGAATTATTTGGCTATTTTTCCAAAGCTTTTCTTTTTCATAGACTTTTTGAAATGTTCCTCATCTGAAGAAGCTCCTGCTATTGTATGCATATCAAAAATGTTTCCTGTAGAAAAGAAAATGCTTCCTGAAAATAGACAAAGGTGGTATCTGTATCTATCTATCTATATTTAGATAGATAGATAGATATTATAAACTGTTAGAAAAACTTCATTTAGGGAAAATTATTCATATTCATCTCAATGTGATTAATATTATAATTAAGTAACCCATATTGTCATGGTATCATAACTGAACCATTTTCCTTTTATTTGCTAATTTTACGTGTTTTATTTGTAATTTAATTTTTCAGTATTAAATGTAAAATTTAGAAAAAAAAATTTCTGTACATAATACTTTAAATATGTAAAAATGAAGTATGCATGTATAGTACATGTTGCATTAACAGGTATTTTTGAATGTTTTATTTTTTATTAAAAAGATTTTTATTGGCAATAACAAATTTTTCAAATTCAGTTTAAATTATATTACTTGATGTACAATAGTCACATTGCTATGTTACTGCTTCACTGTAAGTATGTGGCTGTTTCCACATTTCATGTTTTGAGGTTTAAATGTGAAGTACATGCCTATAAACACAGTATACTGAACTCAAAATAACAAAAGCTGATATCAATTTTTAGGCCTTTAACTAATGAAGAACTGTTGGAACGACGGGATGAGGCAAGACAGAAACATTTAGAAAAGATGTCAGAAAGTAGATCAGAAACAATGGAAACTGCACCTGACTCAGCAGGTTGTTCTTTTAAGATTTTATTGAATACTTTGAATAAAATGTAAAAGTATTTTGACAATAAAATATTTATTTTTGTGATAAATTATGCTATTACTCTTATACCAAGCTCTTTATGGAACATTACAATTCATCTTTCTTTTATAAATGAAGCATGTTATAAGGTATTTTCTCCCTCTTTTCTGCATGCCTTTGTGGTGTGATGGTAGCACACTCGGCGCGTATTCGAGAGGTCCAGGTTCGAGTTCCCGCAAGGCATTGCACATTTTTCATCTGCTTCAAAAATAATCTAATGATTCTACAGTGGTGCCCACACTAAAGGTGGTGGATGATGATCCTTCACCACCAGGATTTGATGATTGAGTCTCCTAATCCCCAGTTGGCCTTTAAAAGGAGGTGTATCTAAGTTATTTTCTCCCTTCTTTCTGCTTGCCTTTGTGGTATAGCGGTAGCACACTCGGCACATATTCAAGAGGTCCAGATTCAAATCCCGATGAAGGCGTTGCCTATTTTTCTCATCTCTTGCTTCTAAATAACCTTATGTCTCTACAATGTAATGTAATGATTATATTAAAATAGAGAAATAGATGAAAAACAATTTTTAACTATAGAAGTTCATTCCCTTTCCCCAAGAAAGCTGGTGGGAAGTAGAATTACCATTTCTAAATGTATTTAATATAGATTCTCCTTTTTATCAGAGACTGCAGTTTGTCTGATAAAATTTACATGGATGCATTTCATACTTTAAACCTAAATTGTAAGCATGAGTAAAATTTGTTTGAAATTGCCTAAAATCAAATTTTGTTTTACATTAGTACATACTCATGAAATTCGATGTTAAACTCTCAACATTTTCAGTATTTGATACATGTTTCAAATTCCTATATGAGTAAGTGTGGAATTATCTCTGCTATCTATCCAACGCTTAGTTCCTTCTCTTTATTTTAATAGTTTTAAGATTTCTCAGAATCTCTTTATTTTTCAAATATTTCATTTCATTCTTTTAGATTTGTAAGCAATCATGTTATGCTTTTTAAAATTTATTTAAAATCCAGTTCTTAAATATATGTAAAAAAAAAAAGAAAAGAAAAGAAAACTGATTGCAAATTAGGCAAAATTTATTCTTATATTGATATTTAAAATAATATTAATAATAAAGTCTTTTTAGAGAGTTGGTCACATTTTAATAGTCTTTATTTATTCTGTAGGTTTAGTTTTACCTAAATTTATTGCTTGCTAATCACTTGAACTGAGATCCCAAATTCCGCATAGCTGCAGATTAGAAGACTGTTCATTTTTTTGAAAATATTTAATAATTTTTCACAAAAAATTTAATTTTGTTCTTTGTATCCAATTTTTTTTTTACCTGTTGTCATATTTTTTAGTTAAAAACTCTTTCTCCTTTCAGATGTAGTGACCTAATCAAATACAAGTGACTTTAATCAGTAAACCTCTATTCTTAGTATATGAGTTGATTTATTGTGTTATTCAATTTGATTTTATTGCTTATTTTTAGAAACACCAGATTTATTTTGTGATACAAATGATGCAAGCTGTGATACTGCCTTTGTTGCATTTGCTAGAATTTATAGTGGAATTCTTCGCAAGAATCAACAGTTGTATGTGCTTGGACCAAAACATGATCCTGCAAAAATATTGAACTCAGTATGGGCAAATTTTATGCTAATTATTTTTTTCTAGCAACATAAGAAATTTATATTCAAATTTTTAGGTATTGTAACTTAAAATTACCTTATGAATAATTATTAAGGGTAAAAAATTTTATGTTATTAAGTTTGCTAAAAGCTAAATATGAAAAATCTTAAACTATAAAATTTAATTGTTTTTGATTAACAAAACTTAAATTATTCTAATTCAGTGGTGACTGTAATCCAGATATAACCAGAATTTCAGATGTTTTACTTTCTCAAATGTGGAAGTTTCTGATTTATGGAACGTAGGCTGTGAACACTCAGTACTGAACATACTGGACTTATATCCATTTGATTTACATCCTAAGGATGTATGAAATTTAATATCTGCCAGCCTTTTTTAATTTCTTTCTTTTTTTCTGTGTTGGAATTGCACTCAGTCTGAAGTGGAATGTTCCATTTTCAAAGATTCATTTTCCATCTTCCTGCAAAATGTGCAATTGCCTCTGAATATAATTGTATTTAATGATGCAACTGCTTGGACAATACTTTTTTTTTTTTTCTCTTTGAAGTGTGTTCAAAATTGTTTATTTTTGAAAGCGCAATTGATATTTATGTTTTTCGTTTCTGGTGTTAAACTCAGACATGATGTTTGAAGAAAAAAAATGATCTGCTCTCAACTTCAGAAATTCCCAAATGTAAGTCACTGTGGTTTCTGTGGCAGGGGTTAATAGTCAACTGAATGCTAGAACTAATTCATTAGGAAGTATTCTCATTAGCAGTGGGCATAATAAATAGCCATAAGAACCCAAAGTAATGCTAAGGGAATCATGACTTCTGATTTCAGTTTATAAACTGTCATATAAGTTTCATGATGCTTTGATATCATCTGTTCTTTTCACTGGCTTTAAATTCAGGAGATGACTCTTATTGTGCATTTAATAAAATTTTCTTTTACGAAACCCCTCTTTTTTTTTTTCCAGAATATTTTTTGCCTTGTCATAATTTTCAGCGGCTAGTTGTAAGCATTTAATTGGCATTAAAATGTGTCTGTTATTAAAGATTTGAGGTAATTAAAATTGCCTACATCTTTTAAAGCAGAGTTATTGTGTATAGCAAATTCATATTGAGGCTAAAAATTTTTTAATTCACATATGTCACCTTTAAATTTATTTATGATTAGTTTCAGAAGTTTAGCTCTGATTGTATTTGTACTTTCTCCTGTATCTATAGCAGAATAATTAAATGTCATCTAATTTAATTTAATATTTTTTCCTGTTTCTAAGTATTTTATTGATCTTTGATTTGCACAATGTAATTTTAATTTTATGTTTGGTATTTCTATTTGGTACTCTTTTTCATCTTTATGACAGACTCTGTTTCAGTGTTTAATACTGAAACAGAGGCAACAAGGTGTTTATCAGTTTCATTTTCATATAAAATGGGTAAGTCATCTTCTAATAAATCAAATTTAATATTATCTGATTTCATTTCCCTTTCTGGTTTAGTGATCAGTTTTGTAATTGTTGCTCTTAGCATGCCACACTTCTTTTTTAATGCTTTTAAATTATCTTAATAATCATTATTATCAATTTAATGCTTTTAAATTATCTTAATAATCATCTTAATAATCATTATTCAACCCCCTAGATAGTAAATAGTTAAATCATAATCTATCTAAAGATCACTGGTAATTTGCAGACTTCAGCACCATTTTTGTTTCTCCAAGTGTGTAATTTGTTTTATTTACTTAATTTTACCTTCAACATCTGAAGAATATAATGACGTCTTCTATGTACATAACAAACATTTATTTAAACTACGAAAATGTTGAACAGCAGAGTAGAAACATGATATTACACAGCACTTAGCCCTTCTCGCTTACATGCATTACTCACCATTGACTTTGGCTAACTGCCTACTAAGTATAAGTATTACGCAGCAGAGAACTTGCTTATCATGTGCATGCGCTAGGGGAATCGACGTCGGTTGCCAACAACATCTAACAATATTTAGTAAGAAAACTTTTTTACTCACCTTTCCTTCAAAAAGGTCCATGCAACACTTGGAAAGCTTTTCCATTTTACCGTATCGAAAATTTTATTTAGAGTTATTGACAAATTACTACTGCCAAAATAGTCATCTTTTTTTTTCCTGTCATTGCCATTACATCTTAATCAAAAAAAAAATCCACAAAGTTATATGAAAAACAATAAATATAGAATGAAAAAGCTGCACCCTCTTATGGCCACCAACATGAAACTGTAATAGCATATGTATCAGGAGCATTATCTGAAGGGGCATTATTTGCACTATGCTTGTTTCACCAAGATCGGCTGATGACTGTTGGAAAAAGGGCAGACTTCAAGGCAACAAGGTGTGGTATAGGGTGACTGTGCAACGACACACACTTGAAATGCAAGAATACATACTGCAGCCGTCTGCCGATTTCCTAACAGCAACTGCAATGTGTATGTTTTGCTAACAATGATGTGGAAAATATTCTGCATGCTCAAAACATGCACCCTTTCCGCATATGAAGCATTCGTTCCCTAGCTGAAGATGATCATTTCTGTTGGGTCGAGTGACTTTATTGGATGCTTGACACTAGCAGAAATTACAAACAATTTTCTGCCACTATTTTATTCTCAATGAGGATGTCAACATTCATAATGCATACATCATCAATGGAAAATCCCAACATCAGTGTTCATTAGAAAACACATATCATCTTCAGTCTCAACATCTGGGGAGGTATCCTGAGTAATTATATGTTGGCATGATATCTTCTGCCCATGCATCTCAATGATGCAATGTACTTTAGTTTCCTAATATATGTCTTTCTGGATTTAGTGCAGATTGTACAGTCCATGGTGCCGAGGGACATGTGGTTCAGACGCAGTGGTACCCCAGCACAATTTTCCAGTGTAGTGCATTATCCACCTCCAGCTTACATATCTTGTATCATTGAGCTACATAACATTCTCCATGTTACATTGGAAATCTATTGTTTGGCTTCCATGCTTGCTAGATTTTAATTATTTGGATGACCTCTTTCGGTTTGCAACATAAGTGAATAACCATATACTTTTACTAAAGAATATATGAAATGCTTTATACACCCCGGTGGCAAGCATCTGGTAAAGTTTCATTGATGAGAAGCAAACTCCAGCTGAATTGAAAGAATTAACTGCAAGAACCTTTACTAGAAAAATTTTAAAGATTTCTTTTCAACTTCATCTAGTGGTGTTGATCCTAAGTATATAATACAACACTCAATCGGCACAGGAAGCTATCTACCTCTTAAGCAGTATTCTTAGCATCTTCCTGTCACAAAGCATTTGGAAATTGTAAAATTATTGAAGCAGATGAAGGATATTATTGAACTTTACTGTAGTTCTTGAGCATCACCTATAGTGTAAGTTTTACACAAATAGTAGCTCCACGCAATTTTACATTGATTATAGGCATCTTAATGACATTACAAAGAAACACATGAACACCAGAGCAGCAGCCCCTGCACTAGGAGGAAAGGACCTCCCTTTCAAGGTTTCAGAACTGAGATTCCAGGGCCAGTCCAAGAAGGCACCACCCCTCCCGGTGGCTGCAGAGGGAGAAAACTTCCCTCAACTATTTGATTCATCGGAGAAGAGACCAACGGGCGACCATCACAAAGAGATCCACAGGACCGATCTCAACTCTGACTACTCAGCACACATTAGACTCAAAGATATATTCCTACGAACGCGGTCACCACTCCCTCTTGCGGTACTACGAACAAGGACATATAAAAAAGCACGAGATCAAACGTCCCTCCACACCGACCAAGTGGAGGCATTCCCTCTTGGACGGTTTTCGCCATCCAGCCATGTAACTTCCTCACGGCCAAGGTCCCAGACAAGACACTACCAGTACGGTACCTGTCAAGCCTGAACCTACCATCGAATATACGATGGTTCTAATCTATGTGAAGACTGATTATTTGCTCTGCAGACCGAAGCTATCTAGTCACAAGTCTAGCCAGTGATCTGGAAGAACCCTGGGTCTCTTCTCAAAAATGATCGGTTCTGGCAATTCCACCCAGTCGGACCACAGAGTTGGTTGTCCAGCACTGTTAGCCTATGCCAGCTAAAGCCAACATAGTTATCAGCGAGCACCATGAGGAGGGAGATGTGGCAAACCAACTCCCTCGGCACCTGCACCCTTAGATCAAACCTCGGATCTCCTACCGCCAGTAGTCGGTTCTGGAAATTTGTCCTCAGATACAGCCGCCTCCCGCCAACAAAGAAACACAGTTACTTTTGCTTAAAATCAATCACATCTTAGACACACTTGTAGGAAATAAATGGTTTTTTACATTGCATCTAAAAAACAGCTAGTGGCAAATGGAAATAGATCCCAGAGATCCAGTAAACTTGCAACATTTTTATACTTGGACACATTTTGAGGAACATTGTGAACAGGTACACTTTTCTAACACAGTGCTGTAGAAATTTAGTGAAGCTGAGTTCTTAAGTTGTTATTTATATTAGAAATAAAATTATTTTGCAGTAAAGTTACATATCTGTGCAAAAGGTGCACTTGCTAATCCTAAGAAAAAGCAGTGCTATTTGTGATTGATGTTGCCCTCAAGACATTCTGTTATTGAAACAATATTGTTTCTGCTCATACTCTCATTTTCAGTGTTAGGCATTGTGACAGTTGATGTAACCTCTGTGGTTACTGAATTTTCTTGCCCTGTGCATCATATATTCTAAAAATATTACTGCATCTGTTATACCCACTTTGGTGCTGTCCATTCTTCCTATTAAGGATTTGTTAAAGATTTTTCTAAAATTGAAAGGCTTTTACATCTCTTAACAGAACCAAAACTAAAGCGGGCACCAGAAAGGCACTTTATGAAAATATTAGAGAAGAGTTCTAATGAGGTGCTGTTCTTTCACAAGATCTGAAGGATAGTAGTATGTTATGGCCTATTTTAAGTGAACACATCTCAAAGTCAGAAATTATTGTGTCACCAAACAAGATTTATTAGCCATTGTGAAGGCTGTAGAACATTTCCATTATTATCTCTATGGCCACAAATTACTTCTGTGCATGAATTTTGCCTTATTAAACGGCTTTCTTAATTTAAAATGTCTGAAGTATCAAATAGCTATATGAATACAAAAGCTGTAGGAATATAAGAACAAGTTAGGTTCATCAACACAAAGTATACAATATAAGTTCATCAACGCAAAGGGTCTTCACATGGAAATGCTGCTGCGTTTTCAAAAAAAGTTTGTGTAAAAAACTTTAAACACTGTTCAGAAGCTGAAGTAAAATATAGCTTCAAAATCCCAGTGATTATACAAGTTAATATGGACTTCATAAATGAAAGATTAATCCCTAGAATAGCAAACTAAGAAGGACTCAAATAGAAGATCCTGAGTTGAGACACCAATAATGGAATTAATAGAAAAGTGAACAAAAAAACACAACTTACAAAAAGTATCACCTTTTTAGCTTGATGATAAAGTAGATTTATCCAGTGGCAGTTCGGATTTCTGCATTTAATTAATCATTTGTTGCTAAAGAAAAACTAAATCAATAAATTTACATTTATTTTATTAAGGATATTAGTTCAGAACCATTTAAGAAATATTACCTCTCCATTTTTATTTACTAATATTTCTTAAGAGAGAGATTTTTCTGCTTATCCGCTTAGGGAAATAAGTTATCCGTAACTTACTTTGGATGTCAGTAAAATTTATACTGATTTAGCAGTAAAATTTGTACTATTTAATTAATTATATACAACAAGTAAATTTCGTGGATATGTTAGTCCATGTTGTTTTCTTAGTTTGCTTCCCCCCCAGCTCTGATTAGAAGCATTTATAAGCTATTATTTATATCAGAAATAAAATCACCCGAACTTATTTTATTTATTCCTAATTTTTACTTCCATAGCATCAGCTTTCTTCTGCAAGCTTTTATCTTTGCTTATATTAACATAAAAGGTACCATATTTTTTATGTGAATCTTGATAGAAATTTGTATATATTTGTATTATGTAATTAAACAAACGTTCTTTATTTCTAAAAAGCAAATTTAAAGATAATTAAAAATTAAATTTAAATTATGAAATTCCTTGCAGCAATGGCGCAAGAGAATTATTTAAGTTTAATTTAACTTTACTATTTATTCTTATGAAACAATTTTGTATTATGTAAGATTTTTAGATTTACTCTTATTATTATGATATACTCTCTTTTTTATTACTCTTGTTTATATTATAGTTTTGTCCAAGATAATAAATTGCTGTATGTTCTAATTATTGAATTTTAATATAATTGTGATGCATCAATTTTATGTTGTAAATATATCAGTGAAAATATTTGCTTATCTTACTATGTAAAAATTTGTTTTCTGTACATAGGCTCTCATTAAAGTTAATTTGGAAATTTTACTTGGATACTTCCTTGTATCTTGTAACTCTCCTAAAATTTGTATTTTATATGCAGGATCTTCAAGTGAGTGATAAAATTACAGTTCATGACCTTCGACCAGATCAACACATTACATTAGCTACAATCAAAAATCTATATCTACTTATGGGCCAAGAACTTATTGAATTAGAGGATGCTTCTGCTGGAAATGTGATTGGTAATATTAAAAGAAAAATTACTGAAATGAACTGCTCATATATTAAGGCAATATGTATTTATGCACCATGATATTGTTACACGACAGTCTGATTTCAAGGGACATTAAATAATCCTAATTGTTTTGTTTCTGATTTCTTGAGAGGAAAGGCAGGTAATTTTGGTGTGGCAATGGATAGCTTTGTAACCAATAGTAAAATATAGGTAAACAAAAGAACTGGGATAAAGAATCCTACTGTCGTTCTAATGAGTCAAATTGTTTTAGGACCTGTGGCAAAGCTTGGTGCAAACGAATGAACATTGGGTTGTAAGAAATAACTCTTTATGATTGTCTCATTGCTGACATTAATAAATTTGATAATTATTCAAAAATTTGTTTAGCTGCTGTGGCACTTTGGGGGGGGGGTCTCCTACTGTACATGGGAATAGTAAAAAAATAGATTAATATCTGTCTAAGATAAAGAAGGGAAAGCAAGTTGCAGAATTTTAGTTTACTTCGATGGTTCTAATTAACTCTTAATATAATGGTCTGAAATATGTTTCATCAGTGTAAGATTTAAAGGCATAACTGGATCAAATTGTTAGGTAAAGAAATAAATAGGAAAACAAAAAAAAACAAAAAGAGAAAGGGATGAAAAAGAAAAAGAGTTCCCATTTTCAATAATGATGTTATGACAGTGGCGACAGTAATGTGATGTCATCAGCTTGTGAAACAGAAGCGTTCTTCTTTGCAAACTATGAACATGATCATTTATGAATATTTACACTTTTCTGCAATTTTGGGAATAAAATAGTATTATTCACCTGGATTTTTTTGTATTGTGTATATGATTGAAACAATAGTTAATGGTTTCAGCTTTCCAGAAACAGATCCGTAACACTTCCAAGAAAAAGTATTCTTGTTTGACTACTGATGGCATTCCATTTCTTCAGGAGACTTCCACAAGTTGCCAATTGTACAACTTACATGTTACACAACTGAAAGTTATTGCTACCTCCTACTTCCAGTTGAGACATTGCTGAAAGTGATTTTTGCTTTGTTTGACCTTTAAAAAATTCCTCTAATGCCAGTATTTCAGTAATGATAAGATGAAGCAAGTAGTCCAGTTAGGATTGAGATTATGCTTTTTGTTACTCAGTGTTGTCATCTATGCTGTTCTAAATTACAACAGGAAACATATTTATACTATTAGCCAAAGTATTGTTTGTTATTACAAATCAATCAGAATGTTAAAAAATTCAGATTTGAAAATATACCACTGATTTTTGTTGTTTGACTTCTGAATTAGTATTTGTTCGACGTGTTATTGTGTCTTAATTAAATACCATTAGTTTTTGTTTAGTCGTGTTTAAAATTTTTATGTGCTTAATTTGTAGTACTTGCATAAATAAACATTTAACTGGATAAAAAAAATTTATTTTATTTTATACTTCATTTGCAGGTATTGGTGGTTTAGAAGACCATGTATTAAAATCAGCTACTTTAGCCAGTACTGTAGCTTGTCCTGGTTTTGTTGATCTCCATTCATCTACTGTACCAATTATGAGAGTAGCCTTGGAACCTGCTCATTCTAGTATGATATAGTTTTTGAAAATATCTACTAATACTAAGAGATTTAGGAAATTGTAATTAATTCATTTCTTGTTTCATTTAACCCTTTGCGGTCATATGTCCACTCTCAGCCACCAAAGCCTTTTTACCGTTCCGGTCATATGTCTGCTCTCAGCCACCACAGCAAGGAACTATATGAATCTCATACTGTATGCATTCATGTATCAGTTTACACTTTTCCTATATGAACCTCAATGCCTAAAGTACTTATTCACGAACCAATACAGTGCTCCATCGATTGGAGATAACATAATCTAATCTAAACAAAAGTTGTGACCCAGCGCTCGCCATGCAAGACACAGTTGCGAGTCAGTCCTCTTTTGAACGTAATGAAATTGACAACGTTCAATGATACCTTGTAGAATTCCAAAGAATATTTTATAAATTGTATTTAACAGTAATTAGACATTTTCTCTTTCTTAAAATATTCCAAAATAATTCCCCAAAATTCAGCTAGAAGAGAGAACAGGATACCTATGCCACATTTTATGTTCATTCGAAAATTGGTGGCACAACTGGTAGGTGATTTTCGTGACGGAGCAGATTCAAAACCAGGAAGACTATCGACCTCCGATAAGGAAGAAAGACATATTGGAAAACTGCATGTATATTGTGGCATTGTGAAAATTTAAAAAGTAAAGATTGTAGTGTATATTCAAACAGAAAGATTAAGGGTGGAAGGCACCAAACCAATTATTTTTGCGATACAAGCACTCGAAAACCTGGCCTGAATGTTGGAGAGTGTTTTGAAAAATATCACATGAAGGAGAATTATAAAACATAATTTTTATACAAAAACATCACTAGATTAGTGTATTGAATAAAGATATATCTGAAGTTCACAAAAGAATTGCTAAATCTTGTTTATCCATCGTAAACTTGCATGCTATGTATCCCTGCTGTATTGACGGAAATTAATTCCGACCAGTACAATACCCATCTCCAAATTTAATTCGACCGCAAAGGGTTAATTTATTTTCATTAAAATATATTGCCTATATATTAGGTAATTTAAGGAGCTCTGTTATGTTTTTAGAGTAGATTGCAATGCAAATACTTTATGAAAGAAAAAAAATCTATTAATTAAATTGTCTTTTATCATGACATACATCATCTTGACAACATTTTCAGAGATAAAAATACCATGATGGTAGAATTTTGTATTTTCAGTCATTTTAAAAAATCCTGTGAGTCTGCTTCAGAAGCCTTGTGAGTAGCTAGACTATCTGTTCTACATGTGACTGCATAATGAATGAATTGAAAATATATATATATATATATATTGTCATGTAGATGAGGGGATCCTACAAATGAACAGGCAAGTACTCAAGACTTTGTTAACTCGAACTGAATGAAGAGCTACTTATATACAGCTGGTGAATATGCCAGACTTGGAATGTTCTGGAAGAATAAGAAGGAAATTTAAATAAGATAACATTAACAAGAAGGAAATTTACCTAAAAACCAAATATCAGGCATCTTGCAGTTGATGGGTTTTGAACCCGGGACCTTCGGGTTTTGAGTCCTGCGTCTTCTCCGCTCGCCTATGAGTAGCTCGGTCGAAAAGAGCAATTTTTGCTACATTTCCCCCTTCTTAGGAAGAAGCAGTGTCCCGCTGCGATCTGGTCTGGCTTCTAACAGGTCTCCTGGAAATATTGGGCTTTCTTTCATTGTCTAGTTGTACTTTTGGATCAAGATAGGGCTTTAATCTCAATACGTGAACGATGTCTTTTTAATTCTGTCGTTTCTTATGTTGTTCCATACTTTCTATTTTGTACGTCACATCAGAGAGCTGTCGTGTTATTCGATACGGTCCAAAGTAACGTCTTAGGAGCTTTTCGGATAACCCAACCTTTCATACTGAAGTGAAGACCCAGACAAAGTCTCTGTTGTTGTAGCTGACAGGTTGATGTCTCTCGTCGTATCAGCGCTTGTCTGTGGTTCATGCTTTAATAGGCTTAGGTTACAAATGGTAGAATAGTATCCCAATTTTTCTGTTCAACGTCTATGTACATGGACAACATGTCTGTCATCATAAACTCTTACTGAATCACTCAGTTAAGCCATTGGTCTGAGGGTGGTAAGCAGTGGTCAGAAGATGAGACATCTTGCATAGGTGAATTACTTCTTTAACAATGTTGGATAAGAAGTTGCGTCCTCGATCTATTATCATTTCTTTGAGAGCACCATGCTTCAGTACAATTATCAACTATAAGCTTGGCAATTTCGGTGCCCTCAGCTATCGGTATTGCCTTTTGTACAGTATACCATTTCTTATTTGATAATTTTGATATGTGTCACTTCTCTTGAGGGTTGTAATGATGGATTTTAATCGTTTCCTTCTGCTGTTCTTTTCTGTAATCTACGATTGCTGCAAAGAAATGGATGTCTTCATTGTTCTCAATTATTGGTTCTATAAGAGGCTTCCTTGAATGAAATCCGGCTTGTGACCGCTCTTGTAGATGATATTTATGTCATATTCCTGCAACGTGAGAGCACATCGTGCAAGTCTTCCAGGTAGATCGTTAACATTGGCCAGCCAATATAAAGAGTGGTAATCTGTTACAACCATGAAGGGTTTTCCGTAGAGGTATGGCCTGAATTTTCTAATTGCCCAGATGTCGGCAAGGCATTCTTTTTCGGTGGTGGAATAGTTCCTTTCAGCTGCAGTAAGGGCCCTGGATGCATAGGCTATTGGACTTTCTTTGCCATCCTGGATCTGAAGCAGTACTGCACCAATGTCATAGCTGCTAGCGTCAGAATGTATCCTGGTTTCTGCATCTGGAATAAAATGTCCCAAAACAGTGCCATTGGTCAGCAGCCTTTTGAGCCTTGCGAAAGATTCAATCTTTAATGTGTTCCAAGAAAATTTTGCATCTTTCTTCAACAAGTCATGCAGGGGCTTTGCGGTATCTGTGAAATTTTTGATAAATCGGCGGTAGTAGGAGCACAAGCCCAGAAAACTTCGGACTTCGGCAATATTTTTCGGAACAGGGAACTTTGGTACAGCCTCTTCCTTTTCTGGATCGAGATATGTGCCATGTTGACCCACTAAGTGTCCCAGTATAGTCAGCTTCTTTTTGCTGAATGAACGTTTCTTGGAATTTAACTTCAGTTCTGCTCTTTGGATACATTTCAGTATTTCCCTCAAATGCTTTTCATGTTCTTCGAAATTAGGTGCGTACACGATTATGTTGTCGAGGTAGCAAAGGCAAATATTCCATTTGAGATCTCTTAGTACCATGTCCATCATCCGTTCAAATGTGGCTGGAGCATTGCATAATCCAAACGGCATGACTTTAAATTCATATACACCATCTGGAGTCATAAAAGCTGTCTTTATCATCAACCTCTATTTGCCAGTAGCCTGACTTCAGATCCATCATAGAGAAAATTTTTGCACCAGGCAGGCAGTCCAAAGCATAATCGATGCGAGGTAATGGATAGACGTCTTTTTTAGTTACCTTGTTCAATTTTCTGTAATCGACACAAAAACGCCATTCACTGTTTTTCTTCTTCACAAGCATGACTGGAGACTGTCTGATGGTTGTGTCACATCTTCTTTTAGCATTTCTTGCACTTCGTCTGCAATCACACTTCTCTCAGTGGCTGAAACATGGTATGGCCTTTGTTTGATTGGTGCACTGTCACCTGTATCAATCTTGTGCTTCATCGCATTGCATCGGGATTTTTTCGCAATACTGTTCTTAAGACAAAAATGTCACTAAATTCATCTAGTAGACTCAATAGCTCGTCTTTCTCAGCATTGGTCAAATCAGTATCGAAAATTTCTTTTAAGTTTTCTTGAGATAACCTTTTCCTGGACCTATGTCCCTTGGAACCTTCTGGAGCCTGATCACTTAGGGAGCAAATAGCGTCGTTTTTTATGGTCGTTAAACAGCCTACATTCATCCCTTTCGGTATCAGTTGGGTTCGTCGAGAACAATTAGTTACCCATAATTTACCACAACCATCCTCTATAGTGACAATTGAAGCTGGTATCGATAGTTCTTTTTCACACATCAGAAATCTGTTTCCAACAATCATAGCTTCATCTGCTTCTCGTAGTTCTGAATTCAAGGCACATGTTCGCCTTGTGGTGTTTGCTTCAATTACGTAATCGGTTGCGGCAAACAAGGAGGCTTCTGACTTATTTAAATATTCATTGTCTGGAAGGATTTCTGAAAGTGTAAGTTCTTGATTTCCACAATCAATGAGGGCATTGGTGGCACGGAAAAAGCTCCAGCCAAGTATCATGTGATGACTACATTCAGGAAACACAAGGAATTCAAACAGCTTCTTAGTCCCATTCACATCAACTTTTAATACACAGCATCCCGAGGCAGCTACAGTTTTACCACAGGCAGTTTTCAATACAGGTCCATTCTCAGCAAACATAGGAGCATTTGGCTGTCGACGTAACTGTTTGGATATGACAGAATAATCGGCACCCGGATCAACAACGGCTTTCACACACTGTCCTTTCACTGTGATCAAAGTGTTATTCTTTTTTAACTTGGCTGTGATGTATGTCAGAGGATTTTCTTCAACTGCGGCCTCACCTCCTGTACAGGTCGCTTGAGCTAGTTTTCCTCATTGGTTTGGTGTGGGGAATGGCGTACTGGTGACTGCGATTGTCGGCAGTTGAGAGAGCGTCACGGATGAGGTGAACTGCTCCTTATTTGGGAGGAACTAGGTTATGCATATTCGTCATCGAAGCTGTATGTATATTCAGTATCCCTGTCTTGTCGAGGGTTGGGCGTCTTTGTGGCTCTTGCATTTTCATATATCTGGCGTCTTTCCCTACAGTATCTCAGAACAAGTCCTGGGCTTCCGCAATGAAAACAGAGAGGCACATTATCGTCAGTCCTCCACAGATCTGTCCTACATTGTGGAGCAGTTTCTAGCTGGCTTCATGTCTTGGCTGCAACCTAACTGGAAGTGAACGTTGGGTAGTGTTTTTGCTTCTCCCTGCTCCTGTGAGTGGTACCAGCGCCTCTATAACTCTTCCCGGACCACAGATGCTATGTCATTCGGTGCTATGGTTTCTATTTCTGTGTAGCTCTGAACTTATGGCAGGACCTTCTGAAGCTCTTCCCTGACGATGGTGCGCAATATAGACCTTAGTTCACCTACACCACGGAGACATTAGGCAGCCTCTGGAATCATGATCAGGCAATATGTCTTCGTCGAGGGCTTTCTATGTGATGGCAGCATTTCACGAAGGCATCGACGCTGTCATAGTCCTGGGACGACAGGACCTGGTACAAGTCTTCAGCAATACCTTTCATGAGATGGGCCACTTTCTCGTCTTCAGACATGGATGGGTTTGCTTTTTGGCAGAGAGCGAGAACATCTTGAATGTAAGCTTCAGACGTCTCATCGATTTGCTGGGCACGTGTGAGTAGTACTCGTTCAGCTTGGCGCTTTACATCAGCTGCTCGGGAAAAGGTGTTCTTAAGAGCAGTCCTGAAAACAGTCCAACTGGTAAATGTGTCTTCATTATTATCGAACCACTGTCGAGCGGTTCCGCCAAGGTAAAAACTGACGTTCACCAGACACATTTGATTATCCCAGTGGTTATAGTTGGCGATTCAATCAAAGCCCTTGAGCCATCTATTAGTATCTTGGCTGTTCCCAGTGAATATACACAGGCTTCTGGGTAGTTGGTTTGTCAGGATCAGTATTGGTGCGATATTACCTCGAAGCGGAACTAGCTGTTGGAGGATTCTGCTCGGTTTGCTTCTCATCAATCATCTTTCTCGATCTTTTGCGCGAATCCTGTAAGAGTCCAAACTCAGGAGAAAGTCCTCGAATCCGCAGGCTTCGAAGTAGCTCTGCCATAGTAACTGAGAAATACCCGGCGCCTCCAACAAACTGTCGCGCAGATGAGGGGATCCTGCAAATGAACAGGCAAGTACACAAGTCTAAACTCAAGACTTTTTATTAACTCGAACTGAATGAAGAGCTACTTATATACAGCTGGTGAACATGCCAGACTCAGGATGTTCTGGAGGAATAAGAAGGAAATTTACATAAATAAATAAGATAAGAATGTATTAATAATGAATATTATAAATATCTTATTTATAATATTCATTATTAATACTATGATAATGAATATTATAAATAAGATAACATTAACAAGAAGGAAATTTACATAAAAACCAAATATCAGGCATCTTGCCGTTGATGGGTTTCGAACCCGGGACCTTCAGGTTGTGAGTCCTGAATATTCTCCGCTAAGCTATGAGGAGCTTGGTCAAAAAGAGCAATTTTCGCTACAATATATATGTGTGTGTGTATATAAGCAATTAAAGTAAAGCCTTTCAAGCCGACTGGCTTTTTTTGTTATTGATGCAGAGATATAACCATATTCTTACAATTCATAGTGAAAAATCTGTTTTAGGAATGCAGTTTTTCAGGTAATCTGTGCTTGTGATAAGCACTGTTAAAAGTTAAGCTCATTTTTTTTTTTTTTTTTTAATTACAGCCAGGTATTAAATCAGTAATCATTCTTATCATTGCAGCAGCGAAGCAGTCACTAGGTATTGCAATTTGTTGACCTGGGGTAAACTGTGAGAGATTTATATATTCTGTTTTTTACCCTATTCATTGCATGGTTAGGGTTACATGTAGTTCTTTGTCAGTAAATTTGGAATAGCTATCTTTTTATGAATCACATGATGGTTCTCTTAACAACTTGTATTATGACATAGTCAGATTTCAAAAAGCAACCCTGCTCAAATTTTCACTTCAGCTATAACATTTTTTAAATTTTTATTTTCACCTATTGAAAGTAGCATCTGTTATCTTGGTAAGGCAGCTAATTTTTTTTTTAATTTTTATTTTCACTGGCATGCATCATTCATGCGTAACTTCAATTTATATAAATAAATCAATTATTAACAGAATATGGAAATTCAATGAAAAATCTTCAAATGACCTAATTAAATAATTTGGAAGAATTTTTTTTTTTTTTAAATTTATTCTTTTTATCAGATAGGAACATAAATATCTGTCTTCATTTATGTTTAATGTTATGCTTATTTTTAGGAGAAATGCCTGCTCTTGTTAGAGGTATGAGATTGTTGAATCAAGCTGATCCTTGTGTTCAGGTATTTGTTCAAGAAACAGGAGAGCATGTTCTTGTCTCTTCAGGAGAAGTACATTTGCAGCGCTGTATAGATGATTTGAAAGAAAGGTGAGTGTCTACTTTCATGCTGTTTCAAAATATTCTAAGTTTGCTATAAATCGACATCAATCACTTTTAAAATGTAACTTTTAATATTTACAATATTTACAGGTCATTAATCAAAACATGTTCAGTTATCTAACAAATCTATATGCTTCGAAAATCGAAATCATTTAAATAGGAACCGAAGTGTTCCTAAAGTGTGTGAAGCATCTAAACATCCATCTATCGAGCTGCCAGTGGAAAGTCTATGGAAATTCAGAAGGCACATCGCATTTCACACGTGATGCTAGCGTCATCTATCAATTAATCAAAATAATTTCCACACACTCCCCAATTAAACTCTGTCAAGAGTTAAGAGTTCACATAAGTTTAACAACAATCAAATTTATATCAATAAGTATTTTAACATATAATTATAAAACAATTAATAAGTATATTAAATGAATAGAAAATATATTGAAACTATAATCATTATACTAAATTCTAAAAAATGTATGTTAATCATCAAATACAATTTGACACTACTTCAGTAAATCTAAACTATTCTTAATCTGACACTAAATTAGCAAAATAAACAATTTCATAAAAAATATTCAATCTTATTCATATTATTAAACAATAAAAAAATTTAAAGTTCTAAAGGATATAATGATTGAACTGATCATTTTATTATTGTTCCATCAGCAGTTTTTAGTTCACAAAAATGTGTTGTCAGGACCATGAAAAACGTTTATCACTCTACCACAGTTTCACAAAAGTTTACACTTGTTGTTGCCTTTGATTAAGACAAGATCATCAACTTTTAGATCATCATAAATGTTAGGATTTTTTAACTGATGAGCTATCCGAAGATTCATTAAATATTGTTTTTTCCATTTAGTCCAGAATTGTCTAACCAATAAATATTGGTAAATCTTTCTTTTGGTCAGAGAGGACTTGGTAGAGCCATCTTTAACAATGGAGTTAAAGTTGATAGGTAATGTAGAATCTTTTTTTTTTCCAAAAATCAAGAAATTGACTGATTTCAGTGGTAATGGTTCCTTGTGGTCTTTGTACATTTTCAGTTATCTAACAAATTTTATCAAACACTGAAATCCGTCAATTTCTTGATTTTACTAATCTCTTTTAGAAGCCTCCCCACCAAACCCCTCGTTTTATTATACGAGAATTCAAAACAGCTTCCACTTGTGCTAAAACCGTTGACCATTCTTCAAATGTTAATAAAGCTTTACCAAGAATTGTTCTTAAGCACTCTTTCACTGATTTTACTAATCTCTTTTAGAAGCCTCCCCACCAAACCCCTCGTTTTATTATAAACTTCCAACTGATTCTTTCATTCGACAGAAAATCTTGGAACTTCTCATTTGTCAATAGTTCAGAGAAATTTTCGAGTTCCTTTTTTCCCTCTTAAAAAGTTTTTGCATTGTCCAAATAAATTACTTGATAATTGCCTCTCCTAGATGTGAATCTTTTGAATGCCATCAAGAAAGAATCTGTAGAGAGATTTGGTACAAGTTCCAGATGTATGACTCTAGTGAGGTGCAAATTTAATGCAAGTAAATAATGTTACATAGGCTTTTTGACTTCCTTCGATGTTTTTTACATAAGTTGGCCCAGCGAAATCGATGACAGACACATACAATGGTGGTGCCTCATTGATTCTATCTTCTGGAAGTTGAGAAGTGGTTTGGTCAGCAGACTTCAATAAATATCTATTACAAATAAGACACTTGTTTATTATTTTCTTGACAAACTGACGTCCTTTTGGGATCCAAAAGTGACTTCAAATTTCAGCTAAGGTCGTTGCTACTCCTCCATGCATCATTTTAACAAGTGCACTTTCTACTATCAAGTTCATTAGCCAGGAGTCTCTTGAAAGAATTGTTTGAAAGGATGTTTTTCATCATGTGACAAACTAGAATGTTCTAAGTTTCCACCTGCTGTCAGTATCCCATTCTGGTCTAAAAATGGGTTAAAAAGATATAAAGATGATTTCTTTTCGACTTTATTCACTTTCTTTAGAGACTCGATTTCTTTGGGATAAAAACGCTCTTGTTCAGATCGAATCCAACAATTTTCGGCATCTACTATTTCTTCACTCGTTAACGGACCTGTCACATGGTTTGTTTTCCTAATTTTACGGATGAATCACTTTATCCAACCAGTTATTCTCAACAATTTTCTTAATTTACTGTATTTTGAGATGTCTATTACCCTTTCTTCAACTGCAATGCACACAAATTCATAAATATCATTAATGTTCTTGTGGTATTCTAATTCTTCTTCAATGATAGGTTTCTCTTCATTCTGTTGAGGCCACAACTCAGACAACATTCTAAGCCATTCTGGTACTGAAGTTTAGCTCCTCTCAAAGCCAAATCAGCGGGATTACATTTATCGGGGCAATAATGCCAATTTTCTGAGGATGTTAAATTTTGTATTTCCTGAATACAATTTTTAATGAAAAGTTTAAATTTCTTTGCACAGTCTTTTATCCAGAAAAGTGCAATTTTCAAATCAGTCCAAAAAATAAATAAATAAATAAGTTGCAGCTTCAAAACTTTAGTGATGCTAGTGCCTAATTTGGCTGTCAAAAGAACTCCCATTAGTTCCAGCCTAGGTAAGATGAACGTTTTTAAAGGCGCTACCCTAGTCTTTAATATTTGTTCATTGCTAGAAATTATATGCAGATAATTTCTAGCAATGAATGCTACTGTACCATACGCCTTTTTGTTAGTGTCAGAAAAACAGTGCCTTTTCCACATCACTATTACCGATTGCAGAAAAATAATATCGTGGAATACCGATTTCATCTAAATTGGAAACTTCTTTGCGCTATTTTTTCCATACAGAACATAAATTTTCTAGTTGTTCATCATCCCAATCTAAAGCAAGTGTCCAAATTTGTTGCAATATGATTTTGACTCTAAGTACAAATGGTGATAATAGACCTACAGGATCAAAAATTTGTCCTATTGTTTGTAAGGCAAAACATTTAGTATTAACTTGTTTTGGTAGAAATGTTATCAAATTTTTTACATCAAAGTAAATTGAGTCATTTTTGTTGTCCCAGGCGACTCGTAACACATTCAATGGAGGATTTCTAGCTTCCAAAACTTGAGGAGATTCCTTTTATTTAAAACCTTCTTTAATCCATAATTCATGCAGTTCTTGAGAATTGGTGTGCCATTTATGTAGAATCATACTAGCATCTCTAAAAACGCTGATGCATTTTAAACTGGTATTGAAAGCAAGTTCAACATTTTTTTGTCCTCCAATGATGTCATCTACACAAATGGGATCCAAATAACACATGAGTGAACCAATAAGTTATAAAATTTTGTGGATCATCGAATAGGTTTTTTAGTAGTTTAGTAGTTTCGTTTTCCTTAACCGGTGCCAACAGCTGCTGAGTGGAATGGGTGATACTCCCCTTCCCAGTCTTCTCTTTATAAATGCAGGAAGGGCTTTTTGATTTATGAGTGGAGAGCAAAAGATGACTTCTCTCGCAACTTTCCAGTTCTGAGCAAACAAACTGCAATAACTTATCCACATCAAAAAAAGATGATGAATCTGTTTTACGATTGAATTCTATCAGATGGCAGAGTTTTCATTATGGCTGGAATCAACATTATTTCGATAACTTCATCATAATTTGGTTCTGAAATGTAGAAACCTTCTATCGAGTTTGCAGTGTTGCTGCATAAGTACGATTTAAAATAATTAAATTTTTCAATTTTTGTTAAAGATTAATTATCATGAATTGCTACTTTGAAAGAGTTCCAAAAATTTGTCCACTGGGTATAATCTCCATAGAATTTAGCGATGGTTAATTTTGGGAGACGCATATATTTATTGCTTTCGATTTTAGAATTAGTTTCGTTAAGAGAGTTTCCATTATCTGAATTTGTTACTTTATTTAATTCTTTCAATTTTTTATATGCTCTGAATTGCCATAACTGAATTTTCTCTTCATATTCGATACAAGATAGAATTTCTGTTTCAAACTCTTCCACCTCTGATTTCAAGTCATGCTCTATTTGAGCATCTAACTCATTTGGAGCTTTCGATTTCGTGATTAATTGGCCTAAACTTTCTTCTAATGTACTTTTATCAATTTCTTCTTTATTCAACTCCGATTCGATTTTTTTTATAATCTTGGACACGGTAGTCCTGATAACTTCCTTTTTGATTTTAATTTAACAACAGACTCTTCTGCCATTGTTGCTTTACAAAATAGAAAATTTAGTCTTTCCTTTTGCTGTCTTCGCACACTTGCAATGTGCTAAATCCAATTTTTGCAGCCTTATGCACCAGCTGTTTCAAAATATTCTAAGATTGCTATAAATTGACATCAATCACTTTTAATGTGTACAATATTTACAGATCATTTATCAAAACATGGTGGTTCAGTTATCTAACAAATCTATATGCTTCGAAAATCAAAATCTGTTAAATAGGTACCGAAGTGTTCCTAAAGTGTGCGAAGAATCTAAACATCCATCTATCGAGCTGCCGGTGGAAAGTCTATGGAAATTCAGAAGGCACATAACGTTTAATACGTGACGCTAGTGCCATCTATCAATTAATCAAAATAATTTCCACACATGCCTGCTGTAATTAATTTACATCTCTTCGTTGCCCTGCATTGGCAACACACTTTGGAATTGCCATTGATAGAATTCGGTCGCTACAATGTGGCTGACCTATAACTGATTTAATACTTATTTTTTACTTAATTATGTTATCCAGTTTTTATTAGATGTTTATATATAGCTATTTAATTATTATGTGTTCACAATTTGAATTTATCTAAACAGAGAGTAGTTAAATTTATTAAAATTATTTCAAAATGAAACTTCTCATCCATCTTTGATGCCTTTTGACTATCGGATCACAAACAGCGAGGTATATTTATTATGTAGTAATTTAAGTTGTAATAGCTACTTTAAATATATTCCCAAAAATTGTTAATTTAATATTTTATTTTTCTTGTGCAGTGTTTT